TGAGGGTCAATTAGCATATCCCCTCTTTATTAGATAGGATAGGATAGAAATCCTCCATAATAAAAAGTTTAAAGAATGGGGTGGGGGGGGGTGTTAAAACAATGCAGAGAAGGATATAGATTGCGCTGATACTGATATTTTAGTCTATACTTCAGAATGACGCTATAATTTGAGCAATTTAAGTGCTCTCAGGTAAGAGAAAAGATAGTAATTAAATCAAATCCTTCCTCTGGCAGAGCTTACAGTTGATTCTTGCATAAGGAAGAACTGATTCTTAATAATGCCTAATGTCCATTTTCTTGCTTCTCTTTGTATTCCAACTTGTGGTACTAGAAGCACTAGCAATTTTGTGCACAATACCAGTATTTGCAACAGTTACATATAGTGACTGGGGAACACTTGTAGTTCTAAGCAATTCATATTATTCTTTAATTTATATCTATGTAAATCTAGACATATCTGCATGAACATGATATGAACTCTTTAAAATGGCAATTAGATGGCAAGTAAAGACTAGAATGGTGACTAAGTTTATATTAAAATAATAAGATTTACATATTAAAAATAAATAATTTGTTATTCAAGTAATTTTTATTAATATTCATTGTATTGTACCTTAATTTTAAAATAATTTTAATATTTCAGAGAATTTTAAACAATACTTTTTACACTTATTTTATGTTTTTGATAAAAATATACTCAAATTAGTATATTTTTAATAAATACATAGTTTTAATCCTTAAATCATACTGTCACTAGAACAACAAATAAGTCTTGCTTATAACATATTCACTGATTTTGATAAAAAAAATACGGTATAATAATTTATTCATTATATATTGATATAATTAATATCTACACTAATAAAAGAGAAAGATGCAAATTGCCCATACCTTCACAATACCCACCAGCCAATCAGGAGTAAGTATGCCAATTAACCCAATAAAGATGGTGGGTAATTTGCATACACAGGCATCAAGCTGGGGGCTGGGTGGGAGGCAACATGCAAGCGCTCTGTACTGCCCCAGCCGCTCGGGGCCTGTGGGAAGGCAGAAAGGCAGATCTGGCCTCAGTGAAGGCAGTGAAGGCAGCCAGGGTGAGGAAGGCCCATTCTTGCATGAATCTTCGTGCATCGGGCCTCTGGTATAAGTTATAAAATAATAGGTGAATTAACTGCCTAATGTAAAATGTAAAAATATCAAATAGCAATTTGTGTAAGAGACAATGATATACAAAAACTTCATATCTATTACTTTTCATGATTGTGCTTTTTGTCTTAAATATTCCCATATTATAAAGCCTAAGAGATATCCTACGTATTTCCTTGTAAGTTTTTAAACCTTTACATTTTACATTAGGCAGTTAATTCATTATTATTTTATTACTTATCCAAAATTCACCAGTCCATCATCAAATAGCCATAATAAATGCATTCAGTTATCTTTGATATTTTTCCAAGTCAGTCATAAAAATAGCTTTACATATATTTTTCTATTTTGCTGCAATGGTGGTATATTTGTGAGGTTGAAGACTAGAACATTTTATTTCACAATTTTAAAACTTCATTAAAAGGCTTAAATACTTAAATATACAGTAGGGGCCTCCATTTGTACTCTGCCTGGGTCCAGTAACCGTTGGGCCAGGCCCTCACCCGGAAACAACCTCAAGTTAAGTGTAATTTACAAAGTAGTCCGCGACAAGGATATAGCACAGAATTACTTGAGGCCCAGAGGCATGGAAAGCTAACAAGTTGATTTAGTTTCTAAATCTACTTTTGTGCAAGTCAGCCGAAGAAAAGGAAAATTAGCATCCACACAGGCAGGTTTTTAAAAGTAAGGAAATGGAACAATCCAGGCACTCCCCCCTCCCCCCTCCTCGGAAGACTGGATTCAATGGAGCCAAAAAGGGAGTCCTCTCCATTCAGCAGGCAAACATTCGAGGCTGCAAGCGAAGGCGACCTCCAGGAGGAAACGTGGCTCACTCCCTTTCCTGCATCATGAGCACACAACTAAAGCAGCCTACCACACACCACCTCGCCAACAAGGAACGAGGCGCCGCCCCGGAAGCCCCGACAGAATAACTGCAAGAAGCGCCGGGCCTGTGCGTGGACTCAGCAGGCTCCGTGTGCAAGCGGCAGAAAATGGTTAAGGGTTAAAACTCCCAGCAGCTTCACAGAGACGGAGGCAAAGCCGGACGCACGCACGCAGCGGTAGTTCAATACAAGGTCCTCGCTACATGCAACGTTTCCCAAATGTGAGCCTCTGGCCAAGAGGGAGGGCAACACCTTCTTCTGTAACGAGTGAAGTGTTAACGCAACTATCTAATAAAGCACGCGTCATGCCGCCCCGACATTCAGCATACAGACCCATTTTGTTCTGACCACTATTCGGATACAGGGGGCCTCGGAACAGAGCCTGAAAGAGGGATCCAGGAGAAGCCGAGCAGACAGCGCAGGCCCTGAAGGCCGGCGGGTGGGGTGGGGCGGGGCCTGGGGCGGGCCCCATCCTCCGGAAGTGGGCCTCGTGCCAGTCCTGCCCTGCCTGCAGCACCTCGCACCGCACCGTCACCCCTGGGAACCACCGTGGCCTCCACCCTGAAACCATTAAGATCACACCTGCCGAGCCGGCCCGCGAGACACACTGCGGGCACGGAGAGGGCTCCCGTCACATCCGCCCCTGACCGAGTGACCGAGTGACCGTCGTCCCTCAGAGCACAGGCTGAGCCCGCACAGCGCGCACCGCCCCCTCGGACCCCAGAGCGCCTCTTCCCCACCCCCACCCCACCCCCGCGGGCTACGCAAGGCCCTCTGGACGCCCTCAAACCTGGCACCGTGCCTGTCTGGCCTTTTCCACAATGGCTCCTCCTTCACCCTTCACCGTCCGGGCCGGCAGGCCCCCCGCCCCTGGGCCCAGCTCAACCTGCGGCTCTCAGAGTTTGCGTCCAGTCCGTACCCAACGGGCCGCCCAGAGTCGTGTCTCAGCGCCTGAGGCGGCCAGCTGAAGGCGGGAAGCGCCTGTCCAATCAGCGCTATGTGTGGTCCGCACCATGTCCAATCAGCGCTACCGCCCAGCAAGGTCCCGCCCCTTGTAACCGTCGCGTGCCGGCAGCTGGAGGCCAGAGTCAGGAGCGCCGAGGTGGGCGTGGCTCTGAGCCTCAAGTAAGTGGACTGCAGCGTCCTGATCCTGACCCCAACCCCGACCCTTGACCCCTCCCGGGCGCCGTCCTCGCCGGAAGGCTGCTCCTCAGGTATGCGCAGCCAGAGGAGGCCTCAGCTTCTCTTCCGTCTCTTCCTCCAAGGGCCCCTGCCATCCCCACAACCACCCCGGAGGGCTAGTCAGGGCCGCACAGAAGAGGGGGACCAGCGAACCTGCGAGGATGCTTGGGTTGCACGCCCTCTGGAGAGTCCCACGCTGCGGGCCGGCAGAGGGCAGCAGAGCCACACGGGCCAACTCCCGCGGACCTCAAAGCCTCACTGCCGCGCCCTAGCCCTGGCTTCCGGCCAAGACTCAAGTCTGCGTCAGTCTTGCTCCCTCTCCGCCGGCCACGCCCCCTCCTCCGGACAGCCACGCCCCGTCCGGCCCCGCCCCGCCCCGCCAGGCTGCCAAGCCCCGGTCCTGTTCTGCCGGAGGGTTTCCTGCCTGGGTTTCCTCAAAGCAGGAGCGGCTGCCTCCTTCATTAGGCAGAACCCAAGTCCCCTATGGGAAATTAGGCTTCGCCCCTCTGGGCCTGATACTGAGCAGCAGCATCAGTATATTCCAGGCTTTTTACAATGTTCCCATTTAAAGTATCAGTTTAAACGATAAAAGCAATCGTGCTTTTGTAAAATATACAAGCCACGCAGAAATGGATACAGCAGACACTTCAAAAATTATAAGTAGTGATTTCTCAATTTGCCGCTTTGTAGCAGAGGAGAAGAGTTAGATTCCTTTTATTGCTTCATTTGTACAAAAAGCATAGGAATTGTTTGGTAAACATTAGTATACCACCACAAGGAAGAAAAAAGGCAATCACTCTTTTTAATCTTATTTGTTGTTAAATAGGTTTTTAGATTATAGTGTTAGATGAAAATTCTTTTCTATCAGTCATCATCAAAATTGGGTTCTGGGGTAAGTTGAGAACCACTGCCCTAGAGCTTTCTTCATATGTGACTTGGCACAAAAGATTGTATTTCAGTTTCTCAAAGACATGCACAACTGTGCTACAGAAACAGGTACTAGCATACAATTAAAAAAAAATTTTTTTTGGCAAGGCACTAAGTTTGACTATTTAGGTAAGAATAAGACTTAACCATGAAATTATTTAAACAATCAAGAGTTTCCACTCTCTTCAACTAAAAAAAAAATGGGGATGTTATCTACCAGGTAGTGTAATTTTCAAAATTAAATGAAATCAAATACAGCACCTAGCACTGTGGGCAAGCAAATAAGAGAGGACACAATGAATATTAGTTTCGGTCCCCTGTGTGCAAGGAACAATCCAGGGGGAGTCAGACACACAAGAGTATAATACTGTCTCATCCCCTGCAACCCCCTAGACCAGTGGTTCTCAACCTTGGCTGCACATTAGAATCACCTGGGAACCTTTTTAAAATTCTGATTTCTGAGCCTCATCCTCCGGAAATTCTGTTTCTTTGTTACTAATGTTGTGGCCCCACCCCATAACAGAGAAACAGAATTTCCAGAGGATGAGGCCCAGAAATCAGGATTTTAAAGATTCCCAGGTGATTCTAATGTGCAGCCAAGGTTGAGAACCACTGCCCTAGAGCTTTCTTCATATGTGACTTGACACAAAAGATTGTATTTCAGTTTCTCAAAGACATGCACAACTGTGCTACGGAAACAGGTACTAGCATACAATTAAAAAAATTTTTTTTTTGGCAAGGCACTAAGTTTGACTATTTAGGTAAGAATAAGACTTAACCATGAAATTATTTAAACAATCAAGAGTTTCTAACACGTTTCTGTAATGAGACTACAAGAAAAACACATTCCAACTAACAATTTGTGCACATACAATTTAATTTTGGGTTTGAGTGAAATCACTTCAAATGATAGACATTAAAATATATTTGGGGAGACAACCCAACAATTGCACAACCCACTACAAAATGTTAACATTTAAGCAATATAACTGTGTTTTAGGGTCTGAAAGTTCTCGTTAAGCAGAACTTTATCAACTAGGCAAGTACATTTAAGTTTTTTAAAGGCACATTGAGGTTCTTTTAATACTGAAGATATAATATTTACTTTATACTCCATGACTAGAACCTTTTGGCAAGTAACTTTTACATGGATTATAAGATTCTCTACATGCTTTTATACAATACGTTTGGCAGCTCTAACCTTCGTACATGAATACTCTGGATAATTTCTTGCAATCTGGGTTGGGGCCAAGGACATAGCAGCCAGGGCCCTTACAGGCGTGCTGACCTAATTGGACAGTTTGTTAAACAACAGGAAATGCAACCAGGCTTCTCTCTCTCTTGCAAGTCAATGAAGTGAAAAATGCTAGTAGCCAAAGCTCGTTCAACTTAATCACAATATTTTAAATCAAAATTCAGTGTTCTTAAATCAGAAAGTACTCCCTCTAGATCAGAAAGCCTTTTTCTTCTTGGAATTTTAAAAACACAAAAGTTGCCATTGTAAAAAAAACTGGTTAAAAGGCAAAACTCACCCTTTACATACTGATTTAACAAATGTCAACAAGCATTAAAAAATTCAGAGTTAATTCATTGGTGACAGCTGTCACAATTTACCTCCGAGGTTTCAACTGTGTCATAATTAAACTCCACAAGTTGGAGGCCTTGTCTACCCTGGCTGGGTTTTCACACTTCAGAGCTAGCACCTGTTGTCAGAAAACCATCACTCAGCACCAAAAGACATCACCAGCCCCTTGCTGGGAGTTTTACTAGTAAGTCATTGTGGCACTCTGCAGGGGACAACGGCCTTGACTTCTTGGTTGGAGATATTTAGAAAAAAGAAAGAAGGAAAGAAAAGCATTTAACATTTTAAAACTGGGAAACAAGTTTCAACAATTTTAGAAACTCTCTGATCTGAAGGCACAAAGAATTAAGTTGGCAGGTAGCTGATAAAACCAGGTACATATAAATATAATTTAAAATAAAACCTGGGCATATATAAATACAATTTAAAACAATTAAAAAGTATAAATATTTGTGAATTATTTTTCCTCCAGTGCTCTGGCTATTGCTGAATAAACTTTCTAATTCCACTTGGCATCCTCACGTCTGAAAGATGACTGCTGGAATCTGACGCTTAAGAAGACAAAGAGTCATCTTGATCATCAAAAAGGTAATTGAAAAGGGCGTTGTGCCTGAAATTTTTAATAACTTAAGGCAGAGTTTCTTATCCTGTTTAGGTAGTTTCAAGCCTAAACAGAATTGCCTGATAACATGCGGATAGGTAATTATCAAGTAGGTGCAAGAGACGTGCGAGATGTGAGAAGAGACACTGAAGCTGTTTTGCTAACATTTTAAGCTTTTCCTCGTTCTCAGCTGTGATGTAGGAGACACAGCTTCACCAGGGCAGCCTGGATTCCCAGGAATGGTTGTGATGACTGATAGGCATACACTGCTTGCCTATTAATAGTTTTCCACAGTGAGAAGTCCACAAACATTGGCAAGCTCGGGTTTTCCTTGCCCCAGGGCAGGAATGCCTCAAGGAACCATGATGGGGGTCACACTGGGGCACAAATACACACACTGGTTTCTCTTTTAGCTTATTAAATCCAGAATGCTCCCGGGAAGGCAACCACTAGGGATCAAAGGTCCCAGCATCACAATAATAAATAACACCTATGTTTACAGAGACCCAATCAGGACACATGCAAAAGCAATCAGGCCTTCCTAGCGGGAGGATGCAGGCCTTTCCCAGAAACCCAGTCAGAACCCTCTCAGAGAGCCCAGCACTCCTGCACCTACCCACCCGCACGTCCCCAGCATGGTACACACTAGGCCTCTGGCCACCAGAGGCTACATTTTACAGCTGACACAGACGCTTCAAGTAGATGGCAGGCTGGCCACTGCCAGGGGTCCTCGCAGCAGGACGTGAGGTCAGACTTAGGTGTGGGGACGGAGGGCAGGGAAGGGCAGCTGCCTCTTCTGTGAGCGCCCAGCTACGAAGTGACCGCAGGTGTGGCTTGGGAGCAGGAGCGCCAGGTCCCTGGCCCGAGGCTCAGATGAAGTGGATCCAGCTCTCCTCGCACTCCCCTCGGGGCATGTGCAGCTCGTGGTTGCGGCAGGTGAGGCTGTAGTCGCGACCATCGTTGTTGTCCCAGTACTCAGCGCCGGCCACGCGGTAGCGCACTGCGAAGTGCACGCGGGAGCCTCGCGCCAGCAGGAAGGGTGGCACTGGGAAGCCAAAGGCGAAGACGTCCTCAGTGCCCTCAGAACCCGCGGGGCCCCGCCACCTGGCCACAGCCTCGTGGGTGCTGCGCCAGTCGGAAAAGGTGTAGCGCACCGCCACCTGCTTCTCGAAGGCCACGTTGCGCACGCGCACGGTGCCGCTGATGCCCAGGTCCGAGCAGGTGACCCGCTCCAGGCACACGAGCTGCCGCCCCAGGCGCTCACCGAAGTCGGCTGCCTCGATGGGCGGCAGGAAGTCAGGCACCAGACACTGCAGGGTGAACTCCAGGTCCTGGCGGCTGCAGCACAGGTCCGAGTTGATGGCGAGCCGCGACAGCACGTGCAGGGGCACCGAGGGGTCGTCGCCCGCGTTGAACACCTTGACCTGCGTCAGCTCCAGGCCCAGTGCGTCGGCGAAGCGCACACGGTGCTGCCGGCTGCAGTCCGGCCGGCACGCCGCGCCAGGGCCGCCTGTGGCCTTCTGGCGGCGCTCGGGAGAGCTGGGCAGCGAGTGCGCCCGCCGCACGATGATGGGTCGCAGGCTGGGGTCGCAGCCTGATGGTGCGGATGGCGGCGGCGGCGCGCGACCCAAGCTCCGGTGGGGCCGGCAAGGCAGCTGCTCCGGGGTCGCGCTGCTCTCCAGGTCCGAGAGGCAGCTAAGGCTCCGCGGGGCGGACTTCCGGGACCCCAAGGCGCGGGGCAGGACCGCGGGGCCCGAGCTTCTGGACATGGCCCAGCAGGCCCCCCGGCGATGGGGGTACAATCAGAGGGGCAGCCTCCCGACCCCGCCTCCAATACCTCGCGGCGTCCCCAGTGTCCGCTGGAACTGCAGCCCGAGGGAACCCTGGACCCGCTGCGCCTCCCCTCTGCCGCCTCGCCCCTCGAGTCCTCTCCCAGGTCTTCCGTTAGTTGCAGCGAAAACAGGGCTTGTTTCCCAAGAGACGAATGCTATCTCCAGGGCAAGCTTTTCGGGGCCACGGGGGAGCGCACGCACCGGGGCTCTGCCTCCTGGAAGGTTCTTACCAGTAGAGGAAGGCTGCGTGGGTGGAGCGGCCCCTCCCACCTTCCCGGTCCGCGACTTGACTTACATGGCTGCAACTGGTCTACGTGCAACCTCCCTGCGAGCCTGCGCCCCGCCCCGCCCCGCCCCTCGTGACGCCGCCCTCGCGCGGGCTCCCGCGGGCCAGAGCGCCGCCGGGGAGCCGGCCGAGTTGCGCGCCGCCGTGCCGCCCCCGGCCCGCCCTGCCGCCGTGCACAGCAGAAACGGCTTTTCCCGCTTAGGCGCTTAGGAAAGAAGGCTGGCGGCCCACGTCCACGAGACCTCCGACAATCAAGAAACAGGCCTGAACAATTTTCTAGTCTGCGTCTTCGAGGCCGCGCGCCTATAGATCATAGATCTGTGTCTGCACAAACGGAAGACAAGGAAAATGCATGCTGTGGGTCCTTGGATTTATAGGTTACTGGTGGCAGGGAGGGCGGGGTTGCAAAAACTGGCCTTTCCAGGAGCTGCCCCCAAGCTCATTTCAAGCCTCTAGGCTGGCCAGCTCTTTGTACTTATGTCCTGCTGCCTGGACCCTCGGCTGGACCGAGGGAGCCTCGCTGCACAGATAAGCGTCTGGTCCACACGTCACCCACAATGCTTTGCCCCCAGGACCGCCAGCCAATTCCTGGGGGGCGGGGCGGTGCTGCTACTGTTCCTCTCTAAGCCTCAAGCCCCTAGCAGTGGTTCTCATCCTTCCTAATGCCGCGACCCTTTAATACAGTTCCTCATGTTGTGGTGACCCCCAACCATAGAATTATTTTCGTTGCTACTTCATAACTGTAATTTTGCTACTGTTATGAATTGTAATGTAAATATCTGATATGCAGGATGTATTTTCATTGTTAGAAATTGAACATAATTAAAGCATAGTGATTAATCACAAAAACAATATGTAATTATACATGTGTTTTCCGATGGTCTTAGGTGACCCCTGTGAAAGGGTCGTTCGACCCCCAAAGGGGTCGCGACCCACAGGTTGAGAACCGCTGCCCTAGAGGCAGATGTGGGAACAAGAGTTAATACCCTGTGATGCAGCTATTCTTATTGGGAAGCGTTTTTGCAGCCAAAATCTTGGACTTTTAGCTTTGTTCTGAGGCAAGCCTGAACCAACCTGAGCTTGTTTTCTGCATCCTCAGGGCCTTCGGGTATGTGTCTCCTTAACTTTGTGCAAAAAAACACAGAAGCCTGGAGCAGCTTTGGGCCAGGAATTCTAGAGAGTTCCTTATTACTGTCCAGAGCAGAAAGAACACCAAACTAATGAAAGAGGGTTGGTAAAGAACATCCTGTATATCTAAAATCAAGCCTGTTGATTTTGGCATACCTCATTAATTGTGAGAGCCCAGATGGGATTTTTATTACCATCACATGTAAACTGACCAAAAAGGCATACATGCTTATTGTGAAAAGTAATACAGCGAAGTCCCAGGAAGACAATGAAGACCTATAACCCACCTCCTTCCAGGCAGGCGGCGTTATTAAAGAGGGCATTCACTTTCAAATCAGGGCACTTTTAGGCCACTCAAAATAAGAGGCAGTAGCAGCACTGTGTGGTCTGAGTCAACAGAATTTCACAAAGAGATAAGACGATATGATATTGTGTTAATATATTGATAATCTTTTAATGGGTTGATGTGATAGTGGGATTTGAAAGGGAGCTTCCCCAATAGAGTTAAGCTCCATGAGAGGTGAGACATTGCCACAATCATGTCATTTTCTAGGCACTTCTGTAATTATTTGTGAATGAATGAATGATTGGATATGGGAGCTTTGGAGTGACACCTGATCTTAGCCTCACAGATTTCCTCAATATGTTATTTCCAAAGAGATGGTGTGTGTGTGTGAATCCATTCGCAGCATTTATAGCAGTGTGATCTCATATCCAATATCCACTGTGAAAATAAAGTAGAAAAAATTAAACTGTAAACATAAGGCAATCTCTCCCACCAATATTTTAATACTATACAAAGTTTTAAAAACAAGCTAGTGAGAACCAGCCCAACTCTGGATACAGGACCGTGTGCAATAAATACTCACAGACTGTGCTGGCTTCGGCAACATACATCCCCAAACAGACTGATGCAGAGAGCTTAGCATGGAACCCTGGGCAAGGATCATATGCAAATTTTGAAATTTGTGAAGCGTTCCATATTTTTAGAAACAAACTTGTAGATACAGAGAACAAATTGATGGTTGCCAGATGGGAAGGGAGTGGGGGGATGGGTGAAAGGGGGAAGAAATTAAGAAGTACAAGCTGCAAGTTATAAAATTAGTCCCTAACGTACAGCATAGGGAATATAGTCAACAATATCCTAATGACCATGTCTGGTGTCAGATGGGTACTGGACTTACTGGGCTGATCACTTGATAAGTTATATAAATGTCTAATCACTATATGTCGTATGCCTGACACTAATACAATATGTATGTCAACTATAATTGAAAAATGAATTTAAAAAGTACTTATTGGCTGATTTCTGTTGCTTATAGTTCCAGTGGTAAGGAGTCTTTTCAAAATATAAGAGGAATAAAGAAGCCACCTCCCCACCTTTCACCGTCTTCTAACAGATTGCACAAGAATATTTCAAGCACAACAGAGAAGGTGATGTGCCCGATGGAGGATCGCACTTAGATCTGTTCTGGTTTCTGCCTGTTTCTTGTGTGTTCATGGGATTCATCACCGCGTGTCTGGTTTTTTAGGCAGTGCGTCCAGCCCTAGATGATGACCAGCCCTGTGATTTTTTCAAGAAAGGGAGTAGGGTGAGTGAATCTCATCAGAAGAGCAGGTAAACGGTTTTCCTATAACTGCTGTATCTTGTAAAATTGCGCCATCTCGATCCTCCAGACAGACTGTGTGTGGTTGGGGAAAGAAATAGTATGTCTGTGCATAAGAAACATGCACCTGTCACCCATTTTGTTTTTTGCCCCTTCTGACATATGGTGCTGAGAAGTATTATTCTTAGTGAAATGCTATGTCCTTGGTAAGTAAATTGAAAAGAAAATATTGTCAATGCGGATATGGGGTCCTGCCTCAGAATGAATTACCCCAGGAAGAATTGGGTGCTCTTCTAGCCAAGCACACCGTGTTCAGAAGTTCCCTCTACCCACCACACACCAGACAGCACTAACCGGTTTTCCATTCTTATTGTGTCTTAAGATACCATACAACTGTGTCCTTTTAAATACAGAGTTCCTGTTTCCTATTCAAAATGCTAATGAGCTTTTGGTTGAAGGTATAGGTTGTATATGCTACACTTCTTCATATTAAGACTAGGGGCCCAGTGCACAAATCCGTGCACCTTGAAAGGAACTGTGAGCTGAGAGGCTGCGGTAGGCACAGGGGCGGGTCTCAACCCATCCTTAGCGCCTTTGCCTGGCCCCTCCTGCTGTGGCCTCTGATCACCTGTCTGCCAACAGCCCTGCTGCCACTCTCATGTGCTGACGGCATCAGCCCCGCTCCCACCCGCTGAAGGTGTGAAGCGATTGGAGCCGGCACTGTCAGCAGGTGTGAGTGGCAGCTGCTGCCCTGATCGCCCCTCAGGAGCAGGGGGAGGTGGAGAAGCCCTGAGGGGCGATTGGGTCCAGCAGCTGCTGCTTGCACCTGCTGACGGCGCCGGACAGTCAGGGCTGGCGCTGGGCGCTGGCAGCGGGTGCGAGCAGCAGCTACGGCACTGGCAGCAGGTGTGAGCGGGACCGATGCTGGCAGCAGGTGCGAGTGCTGGGTGGACCACAGAGCACAGGAGCAAAGAATTTTCAGTAACCACCAGAGGCTCACCCCATTGACAGTGACTGGTGCCCTGCCTTGGTCTGGCACCCCCACTCACCTGCTCTACCATCCTGCCATGGCCAACGCCCACCATGTTCCGCACATGCCCCCTGGTGGTCAGCGCACATCATAGTGACCAGTTGTTTGGTTGTTCGGTTGTTCTGCCGTTGGGTCTATTTGCATATTAGCCTTTTATTATATACGACTAAAGGCCCAGTACACGAAATTTGTGCACTCGGGAGGGTCCCTCAGCCTGGCCTGAACCCCCTCACAATCTGGGACCCCTCAGGGCAATGGTTCTCAACCTTCTGGCCCTTTAAATACAGTTCCTCATGTTGTGACCCAACCATAAAATTATTTTCGTTGCTACTTCATAACTGTAATGTTGCTACTGTTTTGAATCGTAATGTAAATATCTGATATGCAGGATGGTCTTAGGTGACCCCTGTGAAAGAATCGTTCGACCGCCAAAGGGGTCGCGACACACAGGTTGAGAACCGCTGCCTCAGGTGATGTCCGAATGCCAGTCTAGGCCTGATGTGGGATTGGGCCTAAACTGGCAGTGGGACATCCCTCTCGCAATCCAGGACCACTGGCTCCTAACTGCTGGCCTGCCTGCCTGCCTGATCGCCCCTAACCACTCGCCTGCCTGCCTGATCACCCCTAACTGCCTCTGCCCCTACTGCCATGGCTTTGTCCAGAAGGACATCCGGAATGACGCCCAGAAGGTCATTTGGCTGTCCGATCTAATTAGCATATTACACTTTTATTATTATAGATTTTAGTTGGCTCAGGATCCTCACCAGCTAGTAAGTTCTATAAAACATGCCTTTTACATCTTGTTTACACTTTATTTAAAACAGGCATATAAGAGGAAGCCATGGATTTCCTCCTGAATGTTATTAAACACTGCTCATCACTAACAGAACAGGTTGAGAGTTCTCCAACAGACTCTTTCCAAACCAGCGGTTTTCAAAGTATACACAGTAGCCTAGGATAATAACCTGAGCTCTTAAGAAATGCTGGTTAATGATATAAATAGAATCTGTGCAAGCATGTCTGGCACCTGTGTTGGTTGTATGGCGTTTCCAGAACCGGTTCTGGGTTGTCTGTAGACCTGCTCGCTCCGGGAGCTGCGAGGCCTGCCTTTGGCCCTTAGCCCTGGCCAGGTGGTTCTGTGGGCGAAGGGCAGGCAGACAGTGTCTGTCCCGGGTACTGGGTACTAAGAATCGCAGTTTTGTTCCTCACAGCAGCATGGATGCCGGCCGGTCTTGGAATAAAGTGCCACGTTGGAAGAACGCTTCAGGGAAAAGGCAGAGCGAGCCCGGAGGCCTCCCTGTTCCTTCCAGGCCAAAGGGCAGCCTCCTCCGCGTCTCCCCTCCGGCTGGGGAGGAGCTTGGAGGAAGCATTTTCCCAGAAGGTAAAGCCGAAAGGAGTCCGCTGCGGCCCGGTGGTCCGGGGGCCTCGGGAAACAAGCTGCTGCTGGACTTCCAGTCCCTGAGGCTCATGAAAGAGGACTCCGAGGACAGTGCCAGCGACCTCTCCGACTCGGAGCGCGTCCCCTGCCCCCCGTCCCCACGCACGCCACCAGACCTGCGTCTACGAGCGGAGGAGATCGACCCGGTCTGCTTCGACCTTGATCTTCAACCAGGTCAGGGCCACGCCAGACCCGAATACTGCTACCCCGACTTCCTCCCGCCGCCTTGTAACTCCTGGGACTTGCGGGACATGGCTCTGCTCGCCAACACGGAGCCCAGGCCGGCCCCCGCGCCACGCGCAGGAGGGCTTCTGGGGAAGTACGTGGACCGGCTGGTGCAGCTCGAGTGGCTGCAAATCCTGACTGTCCAGGGCGAGAGAGCAAAGGCGGCGGCCAAAGCCCGGCTGCCCCCCGCGCCTGGGACCTTGCCGGGGCCCGCGGGGCCTCTGAAGAGCCCGGGGAGAAGCAAGCCCCCGGCCAGCGCTGGGTCCAGGCCCCACCAGGACGGCGCCCCCAAGTCGGGCTCTTCGCGGAAGAAAGGCGCTCCCCGCCAAGGCCACCCGCCCCACTGCTGGTTGGAGACTTCCGCTAAGCCCCTGGACGGGCTCAGCACCAGCAGGCTGTGCTCTCAGAAGCACGCCCCGGGCGCACGGGCCGAGGAGACGAGGGGCTGCAGGATCCCTCGGCCGCGCTGGGACATGGCCGGCAGCGACAGCAGCCGCAGAATGGAGAGCAGCAGTAACCTCCGCGGCCCGACGCCCCCCGGGAACCTGGACGCAGCAGACCCCCCCAAGACCTCCAGAACGCAAGCACATGCAAATCCGAGGAAAAAGGGAAACGCAGATAACTGTGGTCAGGCCTCCGTAGCCAGTGAGAAAAAACTCAGAACGAATGGAGGAAAGCAGAACCCACGTAAATTCAAATAACATCCGAAATGGTGAGCTGTGAAGACCAGCAGAACCCTAAATATGAGGCCCCCGGTAGTGACAAGATTCAAATGTCAAGAAGCGTTATGATTACTGCCACTTTGGGGCTGCCTGGCTCCTCAGTCCCCCCACCAGGTATTTTCAACAAAAGGATGCTGGGAAGCCTTTCTTCATGTTGACAGTCTTAAGAAATGACAGCCATTGGGTAATAATTAACCAAGGTCTGTACCAGGTAAAGGAACAGAGTGACAACTCCCCCGGCAAGAGTTAACTGAGCCGGTGGGCTGTGGAGAACAGAACTTGGAGGTTGAGCTCCACTTTCCCTTCACGAGAGCAGCGCCCACAGTTTAACAGTGCCGGTCACCAGCGTCCAAGACGGTCGGTGCCGGGTGCCAGTGTCCGAGGTGGTCAGGGCTCTCTCTTTTGTCCCCATCATGAGCCCTCCAAGCAGAAGCTGTCCTATTCAGCCCTAGAAGTTCTGGCTCCTTGTCAAATTGGGGAGCATGGATTTTGAGCAAAATCATTTATCACAAAGCCACCTGCTACACAGAGACCACAGAATCTAGTGTTTTCATACATTTTCCTGGATGTTGGTTAAAAAGAAGCAGCATCTTAAATTTGTGTTCTCTAAGCTGAGGATGGGAAGTCAGTGGGTGAGCGGGACGTGCTGTTTGGAGGGCCAGCGTGGAATACGTGGCACCCCAGCCCTGAAGAGGAGCCACCGTATAGAGTTTGTGGACAAAGGGCCTCTGAGCTAGAAACACATGGAACCACTTGGAATGTAACAACTATTACATTACTGATTTGGGACCCAGATCCTGCTGTCGGAGGTCAGAATAATGATCTTTTTAGTTTGCAAGAGCAGGAGTTCAGAATCTGGCTCAGCGGGGTCAGAGTGGGCCGTGGATGGGGATGAAGGTGCTGCATGTCTTCCTGGCAGGCTTGGTGGCCCCGCGGCTGCGGACTCCAGAGGCTTCCTGCTTCACTGCAGTTACGTCACATCTAAGTGTCCCTGGGGCTGTGCCGTGAGATTCTGCTGATGTTAGTGGGAATAGCTCTGAAACCTTTGTTTGACTACCTTTTGCTGCACAGTATGTTTTTAAATTTATCTTTTTATTGTTGACACTATTACAGCTGTCCCCATTCCCCTCATCCTTTGCCTACTTCCACCTGCCCCCCCCCCTTCCCTCTGGCCATCACTACACTGTTGTCTGTGTCTAAGTTATGCATATATGTTCTTTGGCTAATCCCTTCACTGTCTTTTATCCAGTCCCTCTTCCTCCTTCCCTCCAACAGCTGTCAATCTGTTCCATGTATCCATGCCTCTGTTTCTATTTTGTTTGCCAGTTTATCTTGCTCATTAGATTCCACATATGAGTGAGATCATATGGTATTTGTCTTTCTCTGATTGGCTTATTTCACTTAGTCTAATACTCTCCAGGTATGTTTAATGATGGTAGCTGATTTTTTTTTAATTTTTATTTATTTATTTATTGCTTAAAGTATTACAAAGGGTAACTGATTTTAACCCTTTAAAAGAGTATTCTGTTTACATGCTTCTATGTTTTCACCTTTGGGGCAGATGAAAAACGTGGCTCTCTCATTTGAAAATATCTAACAGCTTGCAATCTTTTCCCTCAGCAGTCAATGTCATCCAAGGTGCTTCCTAAGTTAGCAGCATAAGGACAAGATACACATAATTAAAATAATAGGCAAATGTTAAATATTAAGATCCTGTTTTAAATCTGATTTCAGTCATACTAAATAACATATAAAATTTTTATGGTAGTCTTTTTCTTCCCAGACTTTATTTTCACATATTTCCAGATCCTTTCTTACATTTTTTACCTCCCATCACCCCCCTATCTTAACCCCCGCCCCCCCCCCCCCCCCCCCCCCCCCGAGAAAGCAAGCTCTTACCCTGAGATCTTACGCCTTTTTACACAGACAGAAGCTGGACATCTCGTACGCATTACTTCCCTAGCCCTCACTAGAGTATTCTTTTGTTCCCAGTCTATGTGCTGTGTTTTGAAAACATACTCTTCTTTTCTTTCTGGGCTTCCTGAGTCACCCCATGCATCGCTGGCTGCCCTGCTCCTTGTGAGCGTGGCAGGTGGGTCCTTTAAACACACTGGCAGGCGCTCACGATTCCTTCTCTGCCAGGTTTTTACTCGGCTCTTTAGGAGTTTCTGGCCAATAAATCTTGGTAAGCCCATTACACACACACGTGTGTTCCTGATGCTAACACGGAAGGGTTCCCGCAGAGTTGCTGCCTATCCTGTCACGGTGTCCATCCCGTGTGGGTGCTCTTGGGGCACCTGCAGGGAGAGGCCAACCTGCTTCACTTTGCTGGCTTCCTGTGGTCTGAGCTGAGGACCATCACACTTAAGAAATTCAGAGGTGACACCGCGGATGTTACATTTGTTCTTTGCATTGAAGGTGGTTACTTAATTCGGGGAGCAGTCATAACGTCACATGACAGGACGGTTTTTAAAGACTGACAAAGTGGCTTAGCTTGCTTCCTCTTTTGCCTCAGGTTGATGGTTTGTTTTAACCATTGTTGTTGTGATGGGGTCAGAGCTCCTGATGAATAGTGCAGGTGATTAGCGATGAGCACACTTCTGGTTTTATGATTTCTTTTTTTAAAAACATGTCTTTATTGATTTTTAGAGAGAAAGGAAGGGAGAAAGATAAGAGAGATAGAAACATCGATGAGAGAGAAGCATCGGCCGGCTGCCTTCTGCATGCCACTCACTGGGGATGGAGCCCACAACCTGGGCATGTCCCCGGACTGGGAATCGAACTAGCAACCTCCTGGCCCATGGGTCAATGCTCAACCACTGAGCCACACCAGCTGGGCTGGTTTTTTGATTTCTGATCACAGATCTAACATACCCGAATGCACCAAATGCCACAGGTGAACGCCGTGGTCTTCAAGCGGCGTGGGAAAGTGGAGGTATGAGCTCGTTTAGTTCATGTCTAAGCCACCGAGCTTCCTGCTGTCTAGTGAATAGTCACCGTGTTTCTAAGAAGTGCCTCTTATTTCTGGGGAGTTGTTTACATACAAGTTGCATTTAAACAAATTAAAACAACCCAAAGGGAAACAAAGTAACCAAAAAGTTGAGAGAGTGTTAAGAAGAATGACTTAGGCTTAGAATCAGTCAGTGGGGAAAGTTTTAAAAACGTATAAAAATGAACTACAAAAATGTACCAGTATTACCTACAATTGTTTACGTTTAGATGGTTTCTCAAAACTTTACTGACTAAATTGGCTGAAGGTTTAGTCAGTAAAGTTTGGGTGACATTGGGGGCTGAAGACAAAAAGATGGGGGAGAGGCTATTGTGGGCCTTATGATGGCTAACAGCTACAGGAAGATGTTCGGAATGGTCCCCAGCCTGTTAGTTTCCGAAAAGACGTAAGACTTCCTACCTTCCACGATATAAACGTTGCCCATTTATGCTTTCCTTTATGCGCACTTGCTTGATCAGCTACATTAAAATATAAAACTCTTGGTGGTACTGTATTTCATGTAACAGAGAAGCAGTATTATTTATTCATTACATGGACAGAGCACCATTCCAAGCAGCCTGAAAACATTCAGCATGTGTGTTACTTGCCGTTAGGATCATTACTGTGTGCTGGCTTTTGTACACAATAAAACCGATACTTAAGTCTCCGTGAATCTGCATTTTCCTTCCCCCAAGACCAGTGGGGCAGTAGAAATACTGTCTGGACTTTCCTGAGATGGTTTTGCTTTGCTTTCAATGCAGTTTTCCTGCAGGGTTTGCCTCATCTCTCCTCGGCTACATCAAAGAGGTGCCGAGGAGAAAATGTTGGCCCAGCTCCTTTCTGCCATGAAGCAGCATCCACAACAGCAGGGCGGGCTGTGCATTTCAATGATGAGACAGAAACATCCATCGGCTGCCTCCTGCACACCCCCTCCTGGGGATCGAGCCTGCAACCCGGGCATGTGCCCCGACCAGGAATGTGCCGTGACCTCCTGGTTCATGGGTTGACGCTCAAATACGGAGCCACGCGGCTGGGCGGCGACAGCAGTTTTGAGCAGCTACCACGTCAGTCCTCTGAGAGGCCCTTTGCTCCTCTTCTCAGCTCGCCTCTGACCATGAGATGTATGCTTCTGAGTCTACCAAACAGTGGCTGCTCATGGCTTTGGGGGTGTTAAACAAAATTCAACGGAGTAATTTTTAAAGACCTTATTGGCTTTATTCAACGATTCATGAATTGGGTAGCATCCCTACTCGCAGATGGAAGGGAGCTTGGAGCAACTATGCAGAAGGAAAGACTTGTAGGCAGGAGGGGCGGGAACAAGGGAGTTACACTGCGCAGCTCCGTGGTTGGTGGTTGCTAGATCACCCACAGGGTCTATCGGGCAGATGACCTGCCAGTGCTGATCAGGTGACTCCCAATTGGCTGGTTGAAGATGCCATTTCTGGGGGAGCAGAAACTGTAATTAAGTGTCAATTTAGTGAAGTTGGGGCTTAGCAAGAGCAACTCCATTTTAGACCTGCTGTCTTATTTTTAACCATGGTTTTAAAAAACCTTTTTTTTTTGGTGGTTTGAAAACTTACCATATTAAAGGTTTTAAATCATTAGTGTGTATAGAAAATGGTAATTATTGGATGTTGCTATTTTATTCTCCACAAGGTGGCGATTAAACCTGTTCAATAGCACTGAATTTGTTCTGTTAATACCTTCTAATCAAAGGAAAAGATTTTGATTGTAACCAAAATGAAACGGGCAAGAAAATGACAGTTTGATTTCGGCCCCAAAGCATGTTCTTCATTTAGTGTCACTCTGCATCAGAGAATTAAATGGTTGGTTCAGTGCCAGCAGGTGCTGAACACCCCATACCATTGTTAACAGTTAAACTGAGGCATATTAAAAATTTTAAGTTTACTTGAGCAAAAATTGGTTCAGATCGGGCAGCACCAACACTAAGTGGTTAGGAGCCTCCTCAGGTAGGAGCTGGGGCCAGGATTTCATAGAGACGAGGAAAGTCCTTGACTGGGGGCAGCTCCTGTGGCTGCCTTGTTGGGAAAGCCTTGTTGGCTGCCTGCGACTGGCTGCCCCTGACCCTGCAGGCATTGGCGGGAGTGGCCTGGGCTGCGCTATGGGGTGCTTACTCGGCTGGCCTGGCATCAGAACCCTGCCAGTCAGCGCCTCCTCCTCCGATTGCTTTAGCACCACAAAACTCTATGTAGCACAGAACAATGCTCCGTGAAGGAACACAACATAAATCACTAACTTCTGAAACTCTTCATAGAGCCCTTGCTTAAGAAATTAACTGTGATCACACTGGAAAACACACATGGGATTTTAAAAGTGGGCTAGTCATGAATATAACTCTTCTCATGTGAGTGATGTTCTAGAGGAAACGAAGGCTGCATGTGCACCTTCAGCCTCTCTTCAGCTCACACAGTCTCATGCTGCGCTGCTCAGGCTCCGCAAGGGGAGGCAGTTCAGAACCGATGGCCACGTCCGTCCGCTACGCTGGCATAGTGACTGTTTTCAGGTAAAGGCACTTGAAAAGCAGTAAATACAAGAAACACACTCTTACCTTTTTATTTTCTTAAAAGCAGGTGAAAACTCCATGTGAAAGGCATCCCCAGAAAGAAAGTAGCATCCTTAGCACCAGGGCTGAGGAGCTGGGCCCAGGAGAATTCCACACAGACTTTATTTTAAAGGCATTCTTGTCTTTCTCTCGCCTCACCACATGGTTTCGTCTCCCACAGCTGCCTCTGTTCAGACGCCATGAAAGCAACAAGACTCCCCATTTCTCCAGGCGGAGCTTGGGCCACTTCCCGGGCTCCTCAGTGTCCCGGGTCTCGCCCAGGAGCACAGGACGTACACATGTTACTAACTCCTGTTTGCTTTTCTCCTGCTCGCCTGGCTTTTATGGCTTTTATGACAGGGGTGCGGTTCCCAGCCAAGAGCCCAGAGGTGGAGGGAAAATCACCTCCCCACAGGAAAGGGAGGTTTCCGTCCCTGCAGGACCTAAGTGCAATTTCACACGATCCTGGGGCTGAATGTTGAGAAACCTGCTTTTCTGTCACTTCAGGTCTGCAAGTTCGGACCCACTGTGTGTCACCCTCACCGACCTCTGCCACTAACAGCCTCGCTTATCTGTGCTATCTTCTCCGCCTGAGGCATCCCCTGGCTCAGGCTCCAGAACAGGGCGCTCTGGTACTCT